TGTTCTCCTGGAGCTGTAGTTACAGGCAGTTAAGTGAGTACTGGCAACTGAACTATGCTGTCTGCAAGAACAGCAAGCACTCTTAACCACTAAGCCACCTCTCCAGCCCATTAGTGTCTATACTCATGTGTAACATATGATTTACGTAGGATACACCATGAACATAGCAGTTCTTCTAAAGGAAAGCATTTGATTGGGGCTTGCTTACAGTTTCAGAGGTTTAGTCTATTAACATCATGGTAGGAAGAATGGTGGTATGCAGGCAGACATGGTAGCTGAGAATTCTACTTCTGGATCCCAAGGCAGCAGCAGCAAGAGAGAGAGAGAGAGAGAGAGAGAGAGAGAGAGAGAGAGAGAGAGAGAGAGAGAGAGAGAGAGAGAGAGAGACTGTGCCTGGCTTGAGCTTTTGAAACCCCAAAGCCCACCCCAGTGCCACACTTCTTCCATCAAGGACACATCTGCTCCAACAAGGCCACGCCCCGCTCCCTCTCAATTAGCACCACTCCCTAATGACCAAGTATTCAGATGTATGAGCCTATGGGGGTATCCCTATTCAAGCCACAACACTTAATTATGATTTATATATTTGAAACAATCGATAGCTACTGCTTTTGAGCCAGGTCTCTTTGTACAAGGAACACAGGGCCTCAGGCTGCTGGTTGTATCCAGGAAGCAGGCAGGAGCCAGAGTGCCTGGCTGGGAGGTGGGCCAGGCCATGACCCTCAATGGACTACGCTCTGTGTCCCTCCTCCTTTAGTTAGACGCACAACCTCCTGAAACATCATCTGGGGACCAAGTCTTCAAGCACATGAGCCTGGGGGCGACAACTGGAGAGCAGAGTGGACAGGAAGAGCCTTGCTGCCCTTCTGTGATACTTGTGCTGGCTTTAGGTCTGCATGGGTCTATGGACAGTGGGACAACAATGAACAAATTGTGCATTAATTTCTTCTATTCACAAGTTCTGTTTCACTACGTAATGTTAAAACTTCACATTTCTGATCACTTCTCAGTAATTCAGTATTTAATAAGTTTTCCTGGAGGAACAGGCTGTCTTAGTGTGCTCAGCGTTTGGTGGTCCGTGGCAAACGGTGTGATCCACTCTCTTCTGTGCTGCAGTGAGATCAGAGGGTATCTGGTTCCCTAACTCAGACTCTGGTAGAAAGTAGATGATTCGTTCGGTGAGAACCCCAAGTTTGAGCATGAGCCAGAGCTGAGGCTTCAGGTCTTTCAGGGACCCAGCTGCTTGGGAACCAACAAGACTCCAGCAAGTTTGCTGTTTATTTACGTTAATGTTTCTTCCCACATTGCATTGCCCAGCAAACACTTTTCTCACACATTCAAGTCCTAATTCTTCAACTGAAGGAAATTCTCAGCCTTAACAAACAGATCAACGGCCGTGGCCTGGGAGCAGGGATAAGGGTCGAGTGCTTGCCCAGCATGTGTGAGGCTCCAAGTCCAGTCCCCTACAGGAAACAGTGCTGTCAAGTTTCCCCCAAGATTCACAGAAGACCTTCTGGCCTCAAGTGTCTGCTGGAGACAGCTGACGCTGCCTCACCTTTCATCCCCATTGGTGGAGGGGGGTAATCTGAGCAGGGAGGGGACTTCCAGTAAGATCTTCTCTGGTCGGTGTGACAGTTTAGACATGAGAGTATGTGAGAGAGAGAAAGAACATAGTTTCCCTTCTATAAGACTCAGTTGCCCCCACATTAGTGCTTAAACTGCCTCTGTTTGGGTTTCCTGGAGTTTCCTTACTTCCTCTCCTCCCCTCATTCTCCACCCTTGGGAAAAGCCTGGCCCAGCTCCTGCTTGTTCTGGGCTCCTGACAAGAGCTCCCCTCCATCCACCACGAGAACCACCAACACCTTGACACCTGTCAATGCCACTGCTGAGGTGACTTCTTTGTCTGGATAGACTTTGGTGACCTTGGCTAAGGGAGCCACCTTGACTGACTCACTCCACCTTGCCATGCATCTGTGACCCATGTGCAGAGTATAACACCTGCCTCCCAGGGAAACCACAGAAAATGTGATGCTTGTCTATCGTGAACATTGTGGAGGGCTTTAAAAAATACTGGTTTATTTTACTAGGACAAATTTAACCTATTTTATTTACTGTGATAAAATGTATATTTCTGTATTTAACTTGGTAAGTATTTAGTATTTGTTTATTGTGTGTGTGTGCGCACACACACGCACACATACAACACAATGATGAACAGGAAAAAAAAAGCTACCTTGATTGTCTTTTTTGTTTGTCAGAACATGGTGACTCAGGGGCTTCTAGATCCAATTAATTTCTGATTACTCCATGATGTCAGCAGGTGTGTTCTGGGATCACTGAGATATGACGTAGAGGATGACATTGTGATGGCAGGGGCTTACTCTCCCCTAACCTTATTCTATAAAATATTTAAGCTGATTTTATTTAGGCAAAATGTCATTAATGTGAATAACTACTATTAATTTCTTGTCAGTTAAAATATTATTAGTCATCTGGTGTGGTCTATCAGTAAAGTAAATACTAAAATACTTCATTTAATTTTAAGAAAACAACCTCCTGGAGGTTCGGCTTACAGAATGGACTGGAATGAGGTGGTCTACAGGCTTATTAATGTCTCCGTGTGTGTGTGTGTGTGTGTGTGTGTGTGTGTGTGTGTGTGTGTGTGTGTGTGTGTATTTTCAGGTATGTATGTATATCTATGTGTATGTGCATGTATGTGAGAGCATGAGTGTGCATGTATAGATGTGTGTGTACATGTAGATGTGTGAACAACTGTGTGTGTATGTAAACGTATGAATATGTGTGAGGGGACATGTGGAAGCCAGAGGTCAGACTCTGTTGTCGTTTCTCGGTGCTACTAACCTCATTCTTTTGAGACAGGGTCTATCACAGAGACCTAGAGCTTTTAGGCTGGCAGGCCACTGAGCCCTGGGACCCACATGTCTCAGCCATTCCAATGCTGGGAACAAAGGACACTATGCCTGTCTTTTATGTGGATGCTGGGTACCCCCACTCAGGCCCTCATGCTTGTATGACATGCACCTTTCCAACTGAGCCATTTCTGGCCACAGGTTGGCCAGTTTCTACAGTGTCCACACCACATGGAATTACTGGGGAGTGAGGCGTGTGTGCGTGTGCACACACACACACACACAGAATATATGTAAAAATGTAAAGCCTTAACAATCTTCCCACCTTTTAGAACAAGTCTGTGATCTCAGCTAGTCCACAGGTTAAGGCAGGAAGGTCACAAGTTCAAGGCTAACCTGGGTAACTAATGAATCCTGCATCAAAGTAAAGAGAGGTCTGGGCTGTAGCTCTGTGGCAGGCACTTGCCCAGCATGCGTGAGGTCATAAGTCCAACCCCAGTGTGATCTGCCCAGTGTGAGCTCTGAACTCTAAGACAGCCAATGCTTTGCCATGCTGGGGTGATGGGAGTCCTTGGGAGACCTAAATGCAAAGGAAACTGGTACTCTTCCCTGTGCCATCTCTTCCCTGTGCAATATTAATTTTCACAGCTGTGAGAATTCCAGATCCCTCCCTGAGCGTCCACAGCAGCTCTGCATCTGATCTCAGTGTGCTGTGCTGAAGGATATAAAGCCAGGTAAACTGAGTCAAAGACATCAGGAAGAGGAGCCCGCCTCCAGCTGATGCCTGCAGAGATGAACACATCACCCAGGGTGGCACACCAGGTCAGAGGTCTGCTTCAGTCTGGATCCAGCTCTGCCACATACTCTACACTTCCCAGACTCTTGCTCTCAGGACTTCAACCTGGCAGGGCCCACCCTCTTCCCCCAGGATGCCCAGCCTCTGCTTTGAATGTTTCCCTTGAGGACTGGGCTGTGGATGACCACAGGGACCCTCAACTGAGCTTCTGGAGTCAGCAATAGTTCCAGGGCTGGGCTGGAAACACCACCCTCCTCCCTGGGTCAGGACTGCACCGTCCACCGTCCAATCAAGAGCTGGCATTCTGCCACATCATCAGTTACCAGGGGAAGCTGCTCCTGGAGATGTCCACAGCACCACAGCCCACTCCAGCTCTAGAAAATGTGAGTGACAGTGGCGACTTCACCTGAAGTGGACACACTTGCATCACCTTTGACATCTTCATCATTAAGCTGAGGGGCAGTAAGTGCCAGGTTAAGGCACCTGGCTCATAGTCACCTTCAGTCACCTCCTTTGCTCCCACAAGCTTCAAGCACAGTTGTCCCAATGGCCCTGTGGAGGAAGTGAACACTCCCCCGTGCTCAGAGCTGGCTGAGCACTGTGTTGATGAATGTATGACAGGCCATGGCAGAGCTGGCTCAGCACTGTGGCCTGATTAATGTCTCAGCTGCAACTGGATCAAGCTTTAAAAACACTAAATAAAAAAATCTTTTGAAAAGGTATACATGTATACTTTTTTATACAGTATTTAGTCTTTGAAAAAGTTGTACATGTGTAGTATTTTGATAGTACTATCTCCTTCCAGCTTGCCCTAGGATCTTCCCACATATCTCCCTCCCAACTTCATTTCCTCTAAAAAAAAAAAAAAAAAAAAAAAAAAAAGAGTCCACTAAGTCCAGTAAGTGCTGTCCACATGCACACAGATGTGGGACCCATCAACAGGGGACAAGAACTACCAACCAACAGCCACTCTGCCCCCACAAAACAACTCTCCTTTTGTTCACTTGGTCCTTGGTTTGTTTGTTACTTTGAGACAGACTCTTACAGTGTAGACCAGTCTGCCTCTAACTCACAGAGACCCAGCTGCCTCTGCTTCCCAAGTGCTGGGGTTGGAGACTTGGGTCACTAGGCCAGGCCCAGTGTCATTTTAATGAAGAGAATTGGAATTGCAAGTTTCAGAAGGGGACCTTCATACTAAATCCCTAACCAGTAACTGATGATGCTGTTCTACTCTGCTGCTGATTGGCTCCTCACACTGACTTTACCCAATCAACACCAGAGCAGTGACTGCCCTGGCTCTTACTAACTATCCTGTCAATGGGTAAAGAGGGGAGACAGTTTCTACTGTGTGAGTTTGTCTGCTCCTCCTATTCAGGTCTCTCCTCTCCTCCACCATGATTCGACTGTGGCTCCCCAGAGGCTCTCGTGTAGCAACTGTGATCCTGACCCTGATGGTGCTGAGCCCTCCTGTGGCTTTGGTCAGGGACCCTCGACGTAAGTGTATACCTCAAGGGCTGAGCAGCTGGGGGCAGGAAAAGAACTGATATTTTCTGTGACGACCCACATTCTCACATGAAATCTAAACTATTTCCCCAAATAGGAGCCTGGATGTTTGTGTTCTTTTAGATGTGTGTAAGAGGCCCCTGATATCAGCCATTGCCTTTTAGTTTCTTCCAGTAACATCTCCAGCCTTGTGTCATACTCTCTCAGGGCCTGGAGAGGATTGATAAATCATGATGTTGTATTAACCCTTTATACAGGGATATTATCTTCATTGTGATGAGCTTTGTGGGACAAAGAGGTTTCTGTGTAAAAAAAAGGAACTTCATGTGTGTATTCTGTTTTGCAGATATGTTTCTGTTATTTTAAGCAACCAAAAAAAAAAAAAAAGGCCAATATTCAAGTTTCTAAAAGATTTCTCTGGGAGAATCACAGGGTCATGGGAACAGGAGGGAGTCCCAGGAATGATCATCCTCTGTAGGCTGTGAGATGCTGCCTGGGCACCTGGCAGGCTGAGCCCAGGGCTCTGTCTCTCTCTCTCCCTGACTTCAGTGTCTATGCAGGCTGTTCCCCTGGTGACTCTGTTGGGTGGTGGGTGGGTCAGTGCCCTTTCTCCCTGGATCACACAGCAGCTAAGGCAGCCGTAGGGAGAACGGGCCCTGTGAGCTGTTTCTAAGTGTGTGAGGCCTCTTCTGAGAACCTGAGGTGGGTTAGAGCCCATCTGCTGTTTTTGACTTGATCTATTTCTATTTTATTTTTCCTACATGGAAAAGGCCTGACTTCTCTTTGCATTGTGATCCACTTCTAGCTTCAAGGTCCATATCTACACCACACACAGGGAAATCATAGTCTGGGGTCTGCATATGGGATATAGAAAACAGGGTTATTAACACCGCTAAAACCGTGACCCACAAATGCTGGGACTGTGGACAAGCCATGTGACCCCTCTGTGCTTTAAGGGATGTAAAATGGAGGAGAAGATGCTTTTCATAGAGCTGTTTAGGGATTGGCAGGGATGGCGTGCAGAGCATGAGGCATGCTGCCAGTTTCCTCTCTGTAACTGTTATCTCACTCAAGAAAGGACACAGAGGCTTCCAGACTGCCTCCCACCTCTTTGTTATACTCCACAGACCAGGCTCCTGTCCTTGCATCATCGTCCCTCACACAAACTATTCTTTTTCATTAATTAATTTAATGTGTGAGTGCTCAATCTACATTCCACCTTTCTGCCAGAAGAGGGCGTCAGATCTCACTACAGATGGATGTGTTTTCTGGGACTTGAACTCAGGTCCTCTGGAAGAATCCCCAGTGCTCTTAACCACTGAGCATCTCTAGCTCACTCACATAAACTATTCTTATGGCTTCTGAAACTGCTGCTTTCCCTCCATTTTCTCTTTTTATATAAATCAAACTCATTCTCCTCACTGTTATCATTTAGGTCTCAAGTCACGGAGGTCAGTAATTCTGTCTTGGAGACTCCCAGCTCACTTTCTCTCTCTCTTCCTCCCTCTCTCTCCTCTCTTCCTCTTCCTCTCTCCCTCCCTCTCTCTCTACTTTTCTCTCCCTCTCCCCCCCCCCAAGTCATGGGCAGTAATGACTGCCACAGATCTTTTCCCACAAAAGGCACTGAACTTCAACTCTGCATTTGGTGAGATGATGATGTCCGGTGCTCTAATGTATTTGGGTGACTGTTAACAGACATCTTGTACATTTTCTGAGTTAGATTAAGTATGAAAATGAAAAAGTACACATCTGATGTGTCCCCATCTCTATCCGTGGAAGCCCAGAAGGTCACATGACTGACTGACACCCTCACCTGTCCCTGGGGTCACACTTGGCGTCTGATCTTGTTTGTGAATTCTCTGGATCTGAAATTTAGACAAGAGACTGTGGGTCAGTGTTGGCATCATGGTTTTTATTTTCAGAAACTTCTCCAGTAGTTTCCAGAGGCTCCTGTCAACCCCCAGGCTTGTGACTGGGGGTGGGGGGAGGGCTCCTCAGACTCCAGAGCCTCATCTCTCAGCTGCGCCCTCCCTCCCTCAGGCCCTGTGCACTGTTGCTCCTGAGGCTCCCACCTCAGTACCTGCAGGAGGGTTACCTGGGCAGAGCTTCTCTGTCCCCTCCTGTCACTCAAGTCTCCCTGTTAATGGAGCTCCAGGCCTCTCTCCTATTTGTTCCTCACTGGCAATTTTAATCTCCAAAGTCTTGGGGGGGGGTTCTGTTTTTTGTTTTTTTCTCTTTGGATTCCCTGGGCAGCACAGGCTTGCAGCTCGCACAGGTCAGAGCTGAGGGAGATTTCAGTGTTCTACCTGGTGTGTTTAGAAGGAGCTTGAGCATGAGGGGTGGAGGGGCGGTGTCTTCCGAGCTGTTGAGGTGAGTGCTGATTTCCAGCTCCAGGTGGGGCAGTTGTGGGGTCAGAGATGACACCCTGCTGCCCCTCTGCCTCTAGAATAATGATTTGGGGGGTGAGGTGACTTGAGTCTGGCACCAACACCAGTTCCTGCTGGATGGTCTGTTCTCTAGTTTATACCCACGCTTGCTTGACCAAGAGTGTGTGACAGGGAAAGCCCACCGGGGCCTAGCCCTGCACAAGGAACCACAGGCACCTGAGGAATGCTGGGGGTGGGAGGAGCACCCCAATTGGTCAGCCCTAAAAGCAGACATGCAGTAGCATCACAGGGACTGAGAAGGGTGTGTTGGGTATTTAGGAATGTATGCACATAAGCACATAACAGTTAATGACAAAGACAGCAAGGAGGGATGTGCAGGAGGGTTCATGGGGAGGAAAGAAGCAAGAGATGGAATTATATTACAATCTCAGAACTGGAAGATCCCCACTGGAAGATACACACCACGCTTAAGGGCAGGCCCAGCAGTAGACTTTCCAACACAAAGTGATCTCAATGGTGTTCTTGGAGTTGTGTTGTCTGTTTGCTTTGTGCCTTACAGATCTTTTCTCATATATTATGGTTTTAGACTTTGTGGGTTTTTTTTTTAATTTAGAAATTTAATTTACTAAAATGAAAACTGCTGTCCATTTCAAAACCTAGAATTGCTGCTTAGAATCACCTGTATGCCTATTTTCTCATAATTTTTTTGTCAATACATGTTACTTTAAATTTTTTTCTTATTTTACATATCGATCCCAGTTGCTCTCTCTCCCTCCCTCCCATACCCCCTCCCACCCCATTCAGATTTTGTGTCTTTATGTGACAGGGTTTCTCTGTGTAGCTCTGTAGACCAGGCTGGCCCCAAACTCACAGAGATCTGCCTGCCTCTGCCTTCCGAGTGCTGGGGTTACAGGTGTTTTGTCCTATCCGATTTCCCCTCCTCTCTTAGTTGTCTGTTTTCTAGAGGGAGAGGGAAAGAAAAGGTGTGGATTTGGGTAGGTGGAGAGATGGGGAAGATCTGTGGGGAGCGAGGGAGGGGAAACTGATCAGAATATACTATATGAAAAAGTCCATTTTTTAAGTGTCATAATACAGTGGGAGATAAAATGGCCAATTAACCTGTGCATCCTCTCGGGAGGTGGAGGTCGTAGATGAGGCTTGAAGGAAGTGTGGGCGCCTCCTCTCACGTTACACCTAGATGAGGTTACTCAGTGTGGCATGTTTGATCACCGGAGGCCGCCTTTTTCTGAAGAGAGGAGGAAGCGTTGGGGGGGGGGACTGGGAGGACAAGAGGGGGGGAAAGTGAGGAGGCAGGAAGGGAGGCAGGGAGAAAGAAGAGTGGAGCCAGGTGGCGGGTCACGCCTCAGGAGAGGCAGGGGATCATTAAGTTCGAGGTCGGCCGGTGTACAGAGTGAGTTCCAGAGAGCTGGGGGGGGGGGGGCGAAGGCCAGAGCGATAGAGAGCGCGAGAGCCAGAGCGAGTGGGCGAGAGACACACAGAGAGAGACAGAGACACACAGAGAGATACAGAGAGACACGGAGAGACAGAGAGAGGGAGGGAGGGAGGGGAGGAGGGAGGGAGGGACGCAGTATGAATGTCCTGCCTGGCCTAGGGTTTGGAGATTTCCCAAGTTCCTTGTTTACACCCTTGCCGACTGTCTGTCCTGCGGGCCGCGCTGTGTGTCCTTCTGCCCCGTGGGTACTGACGTCAGAGGAGTCAAAGCTTGTTTCCGGTCATTTGGGGGAAGCTGAAGATAATTCCCGTCTCCACAGCGCGGTTCTTGGAACAGGTTAAAGCCGAGTGTCATTTCTACAACGGGACGCAGCGCATGCGGTTTCTGGCCAGAGATATCTACAACCGGGAGGAGCACGTGCGCTTCGACAGCGACGTGGGCGAGTTCCTCGCGGTGACCGAGCTGGGGCGGCCGGACGCTGAGTACTGGAACAGCCAGAAGGAGTTCATGGAGCAGACGCGGGCCGCGGTGGAGACGGTGTGCAGACACAACTACGGGGTTTTCGACAGCTTCCTTGTGCAGCGGAGAGGTGAGGTGTGAGGGTGGGGAGTGGGACCGCCGCGTCTGTGTGTGTGTGTGTGTGTGTGTGTGTGTGTGTGTGTGTGTGTGTGTGTGAGGGAACAGTAGGAGGGTGCGTGCCTGTTTGCTTGGTGCCTGCAGGAGCCCGTCTGTAGTGCCCCCGCTACGATCTCTTCCACAAATGGGGCGAAAGCCTAGAGATTGAAATAGAGAGACAAGACAGCGGGCCATTCGTTCAATGGCAATGTCAGAACGAATGCCGTTTATTAAGGGGATTGAACCGGCTTAAATACTGATTTACAGCACAGTGGAAAATTACAGGATTTTCCGGTTTAGCTCCTCCCACGAGGTGTGTGTTGTCAAAACGAGAAGACTACCAACAACAGGTTTGTGGCAAGGAGTTCCAGCCAACAGCTTTAGGCTTGCGCAAGGTGCCTCGGGTGCCTCGGGGGTCCATGCAGGGGCCTACACCCGGCCAGGATGCCAGGTCAACTGCAGCTGCTGCCACAGATGGGTGTAAGCACCCTGGGCACAGAACTCCTGGCCTCACCCGCAGCCGCAGCACTGTTAACAGCTCACTTCTCCGCCCCTGAGAAAAACGCTAAGTCTGTCCAGGACATGGACGTGGGTGGGAACTGTATCTTTGAATCGGGGGTTTAGGAGCACCGGAGTGGACATATGCACCCCACATTGTGGGCTTCCAGCAAGAGTCACACAAAGAGGGAGACCAGCCCGAGTGTGGGTGCAGCACCCACGGGCAGGGCAGGCAGGGGGTAGTCATGGTGTCAGCCACATACTGCGTTTGTCTCCCAGGTGAGTCCACAAAATCATTCTGAGAAATTTATCTTTCTCTTCTCCACGAGAGACTCGTGGGGTGACTGCGGGTGTCGGATGGGGTGAACTCAGGAGCGATTTGTGTAGCGTGAAGGACTGAGAGTCTTTCCAGCAGGGGGTCTCAGTGAGATTACTAGAAAACTGCAGGTCACAGCGGGGGACAGAAACTTCACAATGGGTTGATGATTGTCTGGAAACTTTGCTTCTTTGTTAGCCAGAGGCTTTGAACAAACCCCTGAGTGAGGGGCCTCTCTTCACAAGCCCTGTGTTTCCTGGATTTTCCTTCCTGCCTCAGGTGAAAGGGTGTGCAGTGCTGGCAAAAGCAGCCCACTGGCAATGAAGACTCAGACTAAGTTGAGTGGGGAGAATTGGTGGTGGTGGGGGCATGACCTGTGACAGGAAGATTCCAAAAAGAACTGCACCTGCTCCAGGACTGGGGATTCACTGGGCCTTCAGTGATGTGGGGAGGTTGGAATGTTGCAGATCTATGACCGAATTACACTTAATCTTGGCCTATCATTAGTCCACTTAATAGCCACTCTTTGCCCTCTGTCTCTGACTTGACATTGGGGACCACTGAGTGAAACCTTTTGGGCTCCTATAGGTCTAAATTCCACTGTTGTCTGATTCCTTATTCACATATTTTTACTTTTCTGGATTTTCCACACTGGGCCTTTAACTCATCATTTCCTTATTTAACGTTAGCATTGCTATGTGGATATAGCTGACTGTGTTTACTGGTTCCATGTTCTTTCTCGGTGTCACTCGGTGATGGTGTGTGTCTCACATGTCCTCCTTACATCTGCTGTCCTCTCTGGTGTGGAGAGGCTGTGTGGTTCCAGGACCCCAGGGTGGCCTGACATCCAGACGCTCAAGCCCCTTTCATGAAATGAGCCAGCGCTGAACCTGTATACCTGCTCCTGAATGTATCAAAGCCATGTCTAGGTTACTCAGGCTATCTCCTGGTTCCCAAAGGCCTAAGTTTGGGGTCCTGAGTGACAGGGTTTGGTGACCTGCCCACACCCAGAATGAGAAGAAAGGGACAGAAACTGGTGGAGACAGGAAGACAGCTGTGTCCCTCCACTGTTACAAATTACAGCAGCAGACAACCTGGAGATGTGGAGATGGCAGGCTGGGGGCTCAGGTGCAGCCAGGAGTGTTGAGAATCTGGCGTTGTGTGTGCTCTAGTCAGGGTTACTGAGGCAAACTGGGCAGGGAGGGATTATTGAGCTTATACTTCTTTATCACTGCTCATAATCAAAGGAAGTCAGGACAGGAACCTGAAGCAGGAGCTGAGGCGGAGACCATGGAGGGTGCTGTTTACTGGCTTTCTCCATGGCTTGCTCAGCCTGCTTTCTAAAATAACCCTGGACCACCTGCCCACAATGGGCTGGACACTGACCCATCAACCACTAATTTAAAAATGCTCTACAGGTTTGCATTCAGTCCAGTCTTATGGTGTCATTTGTAAAATTAATGTTTTGTATTCTAATGAGACTTTAACAGTGCTGACTTGATATATAATACTGGCTAGGAAAGGTTGTGACGTTTAAAACTCCAAACACCACTTCCAGAAAACAAGGTGGTGATGGGGGTTTCTTCATGAAGCTTGAGAAGACTGTACAGAGATGAACTGAAAATAAGAAAAGAAAAAGAAGGCTTTTTAAAACTAATTTTAAGGGAGGGAGATTGACAATGATAAATCAAATGAATGTCTGCTACACTGTCGTCTAGACAAAAACAGTAAGAAAAAATAGCTCTTCTTCTTTGGTTCAAATAGAATTCTCCTCCAGTACCACTTTCTAAAGCTTGTCCTCTGCTCTGCATGGGTCAGGATGCAGACAGCAACACAGCCCACAATTCCTGCAGCTCACACTGATAGGCCCCTGCTGAGGTGCCTGTGAATCCCTGTGTAACAGACATTAAGAGAACATTGACCTAAGATGTGGCAAAGTTGATTTATATAGAGTTTGGCAGAAACAGATGAGAAAAGAATTCTCAGTAAGTCTTTGTGCCTGACACACAAAACCATCACCATCTATAGACAAGAGACAGAATCTAGGGACACAACCTGTGTAATTTAGCTGTTGGGGAAATGATCCCAGCTGGGAGATTAGCCTTTCTGTCACTGCCAGGAGTCACTCCAGCTGGTGACTCCTCTTGGGAGTGGAGCTGACAGCTAAAGTGTGTAAGCAACTCTAAGTCCTGGGAAAACAATGTTAGAATCTTTCAGTCTGGGTGGACAAAGGCAGACAGGCAGCCAAGCTGAGAGGACAGCTCTGCCCTCATTGTTGTTCTTTTGATGCACAGCTAATGCCTAAGAAACACAAACACGAGACTCAGCGCCCAAGTGGAGTTTATTGAGAGAGGGGAGAGAAAGAGGGGGTAGCTGGTGGCAAACCGAAAGCAGGAGAGAGAGAGAGAGAGAGAGAGAGAGAGAGAGAGAGAGAGAGAGAGAGAGAGGCAGAGAGAGAGAAGCACTTGGCGCGCTTGCTTTAAAAGAGGCTTGCTTGCGCATGGGTAACTGAGTCCTCTGGCCGCCAGGTAAAGCCAGGTAAGGCTGAGGCTGACGTAGGGATGACACGGCCAAGAGCATCCCGCCCATCGTGGGGGCGAGGGTCAGCTGGCTGCTAGTTCCTAACATTCCCACCTCTTATTGTTATTAAAAAGGTGGGGGTTGGGCGTGGCAGGTTAGGGAACAAGGACGTTGAGTTCTAGAGACTGCTTCCTGCTGAATTGGGGGCGTAGATAGTCTTTGGGGGACCTGAGAAGGTTGGGGTGCTGCCACGTCCTGGTAGATGGTTGTTTCATCATTGTTCTGACAGTATGGGGCTCTGGCGTTTCTTTGAGACCTGGCAAGATGTTACTGTAAGACCCTCAGAATGAGGAGTCTTCCAGGTTCGGTCGATACCCCAAGAACTCAATGTCCAGTCCAGTTACTGCAAAACGCAAGAGGCTTTAATGAACAGGAAACATTTGCGCATACGGGCTCCTCCAGCACGCAGGCTAGGGAGAAGCCCCCTCCCTTGGGCCCAGGTGTTTTTAAAGGCAAACCCACAAGCTTAGGGAGGGGGTGGGACCCTTTGTCCATTGAGTACGCGACCCTTGAAGGCCGGATGGTCTGCTATTAGGGTCAGCAGACCTTAGGGCCTCAGGTGTGCTAATTAATCTTGTCTGGGCAAACCAGAGTTACAGCTATCTCTTGACCCTATTTACCACCTGTTGACTCACAGGAAAGGAGGGGCAGTGTGAATTCTTCTTATCTCAGGGCCCTGTGAGAGGAAGCTAGCAAATTCCAAGGAACAGATATTGGTTTCTAGGTTAGTCCATCATTAACATTACTTTTTAGGTCTTTCAGTTAGCAGAACAGAGGACAAGGTTAGGTTTTTTTCTCTTAGGTCTTAGTACTTAATGGGAGAAGTGTGAGGTGGGGGAGGGACTCCCAAGGGGGTCCCGGGACAAGGGAAGGAAGTCCCGAGGCCAGGAAAAAGGTGATTTATTTGGAGTGAATCTGACCTGTAAATAGATCCAATTCAGCTCCCTGGAACTTAAAAGAATCCTTTGAGTTTGTGAAAACATAAATATTGAGACACATTAGCAGCATACTCATGTTAGAGAAGATTTGGTTGAAAGAATTAACACAACTGGCAGTTTTTTAGCACAATGAAAAGCATCTTAATTGTAAGTTATAGTTTACAGTTATGATCATATAATGGCATAGTATGGTGTTTAATACTGTTAAAACTTTATTGATTAATGGTAAGACTATAAACAGTAGCAACCTTAAAATACCCATTTTTGAAATCTGTTTTGAAACAATTGGAGCCTTTGTTGCTGCTTTAAGCTGACAAAGCTACCAGTTGTCAAAAGCATCAGAGTTCTTGAGAAGGACAAAATTTTACCTGAATGATTAGAGAGTAACAGAGACTTACTAGCTGGCAGCATGGACAGCCACCCCAGGTCCTCCACAGTTGTTGAAGTCAGAGGCTTTAAAGACATCTGCCTTCTGCTGATGGCACAAGACCTGTGGATTATGAGCTTTTGGAAGACTTACCTACCGTTGGCCCAAGCAATGTGGAGAAAGTCGATTCCACTGCCCTCTTGTCCACGGTCTTTAGAGCCCTTTGCAGCAGTTGAGACGAAAGGCAGGATTGCTCAGTGGCTAGCGTTGCCACTTTTGTGGATGGAGCTTCTATCAGTGTCCATCAGTCTTCTTGGAGGAAATGGGTGGTGCCAGCAGCTGGCCTGTCTCTCTGTTATAAAAGCTTTTTAATGAAACATTTTAAATGCCATATTCTCTAGATCTCTGAGCATTTGAGGACTGTCTGACTGTTTAGCATACCTTAGTATACAAAAATATGTCTTTAGTTACTTGCCTTAAGCACACAGGTGGCTAGGTAAGGCTTTGTCCCTGTAATTAATTAATCTGTTTGGAAAACTGGATCCAAGCTGAGAGGCTGTGGAGGGATGTTTTACTCAGAGCCCTGCAGCCTGACTGTAACTGGTTTTAACTTAGTAGGTTAGACTTATACCTGTAGAGGGCAAAGAGGTAGAGAAAAACTCCCTTTGATAATAGAGGCTTAACCTTTATAAACAGCTTACAGGAAAGACTGGGTAGCATAAATATTTTGTTAGCTTGAAATAGACATGTATAACCTTAAATGTTTACCACCATTAAAAGGCACATAACAATTTAGAAGTATTTGAGACTTAGTACAGTTGAATTTAAGTTGTATGAAGTTAGCTTACATTTACATAAATTTAAATTAAATGTACAGATATATTAAACAGGACTGGGTAAAATTGAGAAGGCTAGAATGTGAAGCTATGTATGACATGGTGAAAAAGAAATTAGAGACAAAGAATAAAGCAAATAAAAGAATAAAAGCAAAAGGTAAATGAATTACAGATTCTGTTGACGGCAGAAGCTGGCTAGACTACCTCTGCCTAGGTGGCTGGTATAGCAGAGGGAAGAACCATGGCGGGGGGGGGGAGGCTAGGCCACGTGGTCAAGATGGTGGCTGCCATAAACATATCCCCAACAACTGGCAGAAATCATAAAGTTTTGAGATAAAATTTTGTCTTGAGGAGATGCTTCCTCAGCCCAGACTACTGCTCTGAGACAGGCTGCAGCTGTAGGCAGGAGAGTTTTAACGTGGCGGGAAGAGAACAGAAATAAGTTTAGGGTAAGAGATTATTTAGCAGAGAGATAGAAAAAACTCCTTCCATCTACCTGTTCGCTGGCAGTAATTTGAAAGATCCAGTAAAATATCAGGATCTAGAGAGCCGTTACACGGCCAATATGAATTATTTTCTAGGGGATATCTAGGCCACTTTTCAGTACAAAGGTACTGGGTGCCTTAACAAGTGGCATTTACCAGGCATCCCAGTGGAGTGGTGAGGGATATTTCCTTGGTCGGTTTACTCCCAATGGGTAGAGCAGAAAGTGACCATGCAGTCTTGGAACTCGTCAGCTCAAGAGTGTGGCCACACAGTAATTGAGAATGGCAGAGCGTTATTCGAAGCTCATCAGCCCGAATACATTGCCAGGGCCAACAGCGGCCAGAAGGACTCAGCAGTCCGAGAACAGAGCAGATATACCGCCCTGGGCGGTATGTCTTCCACCCATAAGGAATGTACCCGACCTTAAGGAAATGGGTTAAAATTTAAAAGGGTACCTTACCTAATTGAAGTCGATGTGGGGTGGTATCGATGTGGGGTGGTATTTCCAGCGAACGGGGGGGGGGGGTGGAGGCAGACCGCTGGAATCGGAAACAGGATCCCTAGGAAACAAGATCCCGAGTGTCTCTGGCTGGCCGCCCACCAGCAGACGGCCACCAGTGACCCTCAAGGAGAGCCTGCCTGGGGTTCGGCACCAATGTTGTTCTTTTGCTGCAGCTAATGCCTAAGAAACACAAACACGAGACCCAGCGCCCACGTGGAGTTTATTGAGAGAGGGGAGAGAAAGAGGGGGTAGCTGGTGGCAAACCGAAAGCAGGAGAGAGGGAACAGAGAGGGACCAGAGAGAGAGCAGAGAGAGGCAGAGAGAGGAAACAGAGAAACCAGAGAGAGAGCAAAGAGAGGGCAGAGAGAGAGACCAGAGAGAGCAAAGGGAGAGAAGCACTTGGCACACTTGCTTTAAAAGAGGCTTGCACATGGGTAACTGAGTCCTCTGGCAGCCAGGTAAAGCTGACATAGAGATGAAAAGGCCATGAGCGTCCCGCCCATCGGTGGGGCTGGAGTCAGCTGGCTGCTAGTTCCTAACACTCTTGACTTATTCTCACCTCCCTTTCTCCTCTAGCTGAGCCCCAGGTGAGTGTGTACCCGACAAAGACTCGGCCCCTGGAGCACCACAACCTCCTGGTCTGCTCTGTGAGTGGCTTCTACCCGGGGAACATTGTAGTCAGATGGTTCCGGAATGACCAGGAGGAGAAGGCTGGGGTCGTGTCCACGGGCCTGATCCGGAATGGAGACTGGACCTTCCAGACCCTGGTGATGTTGGAGATGGTTCCTCAGAGTGGAGAGGTGTACACCTGCCAGGTGGAGCATCCCAGCCTGACCAACCCTGTCACAGTGGAGTGGAGTGAGTGGGAAGCCCTGACCCTGGGAGTCCCTGCCCACCAGGGATGGGTGTGGCTTGCCTCTGCCTGTCAATTTTTTCTGACCCTGTGAATCCCCGCCTACCAGGGAGGGGCGTGGCTTACTCCTGCCTGTCAACTCTCTCTGCCCACACACTGTTTCCACTGGTCTGTGCTGTTCCCTCCTTCAGCCTGGATCACAGGGTTAGCTGTGTGATCTTCTACAAGCACCTTGGCCCCCTGGGAAGCAGTTACACCACCACACACTTTTCTAAGCTCTCCAGTGACACCACAGCCCAGGAACCAGCTTTTTCCTGGCTGCAGCCTCTTCTCTCTGGCTGGGTTGTGTTTCTGCTGCTGCTCATGAGATGATGGACAAGGAGCAGCGAGGGTCATGGCTGACCTCAGGGACATCCAGTCTCAGCTCTGCCTTTGCTTACCTCTGTCACCTTCAGGATGGTGCAGCCTCAGAGCTCAGAGGCTTCCTGTCAGATCAGCTCAGGGGGGCCATATGATATCTCTTCATGCTGTTTGATTGCTTTCCAACATCAGCAGGGATGTTCAATTCCTGCTCCTTCAGAACAGGGTTCTTCCCTAGTCTCTAAGCTCTGAGTCTCAAGGTCCCAAGGGGAAGCGGGGTTTGGGTGAAAACCTGCACACCTGGCTTCTTTTCTCAGGGGCCCAGTCCACATCTGCACAGAACAAGATGCTGAGTGGAATCGGGGGCTTCGTGCTGGGTCTCATCTTCCTCGGGCTGGGGCTGTTCATCTACTTCAGGAACCAGAAAGGTAAGGAGCCTGGTGGTGGCCAAGACCCCATTGCATTTGAGGCAAGACCCATGCTTTGTTCTTGGATGTCACTGGGTGTGTGACCTCAGATTTCAGTGGACTCTGAACCCAACAGTCTGAGTTACTGGATTGAACCCCAAGGAGTGATAACATTAGAGACAGGGAAAGCTGAGGTGACTCTGCCTTGAGAACTGGGAACAGAGGAAGAGAGAAGGAAGAACCAGTGGGCTGGAGTGAGCCTGTGGCTTCCTCAGCCCCCCTCTCTGTCCACAGTCTGCTCTGGCCTCAGTGCTGTGGGCTGTGGTGCCAGGGGAATCGAGGGTGACAGCTCAGAGTCTGGGGACATGTGTCTGGAGATAGATCCTCCTCCATGCACTTAAGTGCATATTTTATTCTCTTTTCTAGGACAGTCTGGCCTTCAGCCGACAGGTAACACCTTTCAGACAGATCTGCTTTTCCTGCAATGTGGGGATGGGGTTGATGGGCACCAGACAGAAACACCAGGGGAATTATAGACCCAGGGCCCGGCCAGGCGGTTTGCAAAGAGCCTTGTTCCCTGCACTTACCGAAGGCCTGTGCTCTGAAGCAGGGTTGACTTGGAGCGGGAGTTCTCTCTGCCCATTGCCATGTTCTCAGGAGAGCCTGAGGGGGGTGAGACAAGCCACTGCAGAGTTAGGTCTGGAAACACCTGTGTCCCTGTGCTCTGCAGGGCTCCTGAGCTGAGTGGAGCTGACAAGACTGGAGGAAGGAGCATCCCCGTCTCCATGTTTGGTACCAGTCCCTCCATTGGCAGAGCTTCCCAGGACCTGGCTCCTCCTGGCTCTGGACCCTTCAGACCCGTGCTCCCTGGTGGCTGGCTGGGCCCCTGCCTGGGCCTGGCAACACCACACAGAACTCCCTCCCCTCCCCTCCCCTGTCCTTCTCCTTCTTGTCCCCTGCACTTTGTCTGAGCTTCTGAGTCAGGCTGTTGTCATAATGCTGCCTTATATTTTTGTCAAATAAACAAATAATGAAAGTCACCTGCTTCATTGAGTTTCAGGAATACGAAATAGCAAAGAGAAAGGAACGGCCCAGGGTAAGTCACTGCAGGGCAGGTGACATACAAGAAATAAATTCAGCGGTCTACATTACTTGTGAATTTTACTATTTTTGAAATTGTATTTGAATTTTAAAAGCCAACATATAATCATATCAAACACAGGCATTTATGCACATAAGAAGGGAATCCGTGAGAGGCTGTGTGAGAAGAGGGAACACATAAACACTTCTTTAACAGAAGGCAGGTTACGTCCCTGTGTGCCTGCTGCCATCTCCCCAGAGCACCAGGGTTCTCAGGCACCTCACCGAGCCTAAAGGGAAATGAAAACCAAGACATGTTTGCTGTGAGTCGCAGGGAAGGGAAACAAGGTAGGTTTGTGGTTCTCAACATAGCCAGAGAGAGAGTCAGGACCTTGTCCAGGCGGTACCTTGTGGCGGCACAGAGATCATAGGCTGACAACACAGAGGTCTTCCACAGTGCTGGTCCAGCAGCCCAGGTAGCCACACCCAGACTCCTCATCCTCTGTCCTGACTGTGCTCACCAGGTGTTTCCCTCCTCCCCTCCCTGTCTGTTACCCAGACCCTGTAACTGCCCTGCTGCAGCTGCACAGCCAGCCACACAGACCTTCCCACTCTGTATTCCTGCATCCTGTCCCAGGGCAGCTCTGGGCTCTGTCTGGTGATTCCCATAGTCACCCATCTGAAGTAGTTGATCTGTACCGACTCCAAGGCAGCCAGAGGAAGCTGCTTGCTTTGAACCCAGTATGGAGAGCAACAAGAACGCTATCCCTTACTTCCTGTGAAAACAGTCCTGTGGGTTCATGACTCAATTTCAGGGTCTATAGCAAGGGTCTGTGCAGACTGATCCTGGTTCCCAGAAACCAATGCGACTGCCCTCCCTCAGGGACCCAGCCTCTATTCTGCCTCCTCACACTCAACAGAAGGGGAGAGTCTGGCTCTGCTTTGCCTTCAGTGGGGGAGTTCAGACTAGACAACCCATGGTTTGGAGACAACTGTTGCACTGTTTTACCTGAATGAAGATTATCTTAAGTTAATATTGAAGGAAATAAAAAAAAATGGTCAATTTAAAACAGCCTGCTTTTGACATTCATAATTTACAAAAGCAATATAGAGGTTTCAGTTCAGGCATGCGTCTTAGTCCAGTTATCTTACAAAAGAAGCATGGGGGCCAGAGGGCTGGGTCAGTGGTTAAGATCACTGGCTGCTCTTCCAGAGTATCCTGGTTCAATTCCCAGTACTCACATGGTGGCTCACAACTGTCTGCAATTCCAGCTCTAGGGCTGCAGTGCCCTTCTGGCTGCTGTGGGCACTGCAAACAATATTCTATACAAAATGAAAAGTTTAACTCCTAAAAACAATTGCTTGTCAGTTATAAACTATGAGAATGATACGAATGTAGTTTTGATGTAATCTCCTGTGTTCCTGGGCTGTGAGTATGTAATTCTCAGGAAAGACCACCTTAGCTTCCCTCCATCAGTGCTCGTCACAGTGGCCTGGTGTGCTGGTCCTGTTTTCTCTGTTGGCCACATTAGTGTCCTGTTTCTCTTGGTGCAATCAAAAGCTCCCCCATAATGCAGGATTGTGGGGGTCTCTGCAAAGACCTTGGCCAGAAGAGTAATGATTCCTATGAGACAAGAAGGAGTCCAGTTCAGCACGACTCAGTAGCTGGTGCTGGTTCACGCTTCCATAGACTGACACTGGGCAGTTTATTTTAGGCATATTTAAGTGCAGTACAATGTGGGGAGAAAAGTCTCCTGGTGTAACACAATCCCAGTGAGTGATGATCTTAAGGAATCATTACATCAAAACTCTTTCCAAAGCACATCTCACCTCCTCCATGAAGATGGGTTCTATAAATAGACTATATGTGTCATCTTTGGGACCTGGAGGAGGATATAGTGTGTACTCTCATACAGAAAGTGCAGGGGTCACCAGCCTAGTAACCACCTCTGTTTCCAGCCTTCCTGGTGGACAACAGGTAATAGGCCTCTTCCTTTGAAGAGACAATTATTCATCTTTAACATTCTTGGGTTTTCTCATGGTTATCTGTGAGTGCAAGGACCTCATGCCCTGTACACCTCTCTCTCTCTCTCTCTCTCTCTCTCTCTCTCTCTCTCTCTCTCTCTCTATCTCTATCTTTCAAAAGAAAAATAGTGACTATAGGAAGCCAGGATTGGATGTGTTACATCTTTGGCCATTCTAAGTAGTATTGGCAAGTATAGGAGAATTATAAAAATAGCTAACAGAGGACCAAGCAAAGGGAAAAGTCATCTTAACCATGATGGCCATTCAAAGGTCATTTCAGAAATTTTGTTTATGTCCTTATGCTAATCAATTTGGCCAACAATAGAAAAATATGACCTGGCAACACATGCCAGGAAATTGTTGACAAAGTAGATTATATTTCAACAACAATAATTTATAGTGATCTATTTTGTGAGACTGTGATCCTCAATCCATCCATCTTGATTAACTTCTGCTAATGTTTTTTTATGTGATATAATAGTTTTGCTGATCATACAGACCATCCCTGAGACCTCACTTTGTAGTCCCATAACTATTACTGGGATTGGCAAACAAACACACTGTTGTGGCTGCAACCATCACAGGACCAATAGATGCAAAGAACCATCACAATTTTCAGGAGAAAGCTCTTAATTCCATTGACTGACTGCAAATATTTGATGATCACAATAGGTGTAATATGACCTATTCCATATGAACCTCCATAACCCACAGGAGGGGTGGTATAAGTAGCATTTTCATAGAGACAAAAAACAAACAAACAAACAAAAAGAAGAGGTCCATCCAAATGCAGTTCTTTAACAGAGGGAAAGTTTTGAATAGGAGGAATTCCAATAAGGAGGGGTATAAACATAAACAGTGTGATAAAAAGAAATCAAAACACTATTGACAGGTGTTGCTGGGCTGTTTCCTTGTCCTGTTGGGTTTCGCTGCCTTTCAGCCCCAAATAAACACACATACTCTATATTAATTATAAAATGGTTGGTCAATGGATAAGGCTTCTTGTTGGCTAGCTCTGTCTTAAGTATAAACCAATTTCTATCAGTCTATGTATAGCCATGAGGCTGTGGCTTACCCTGTAATGCCCTGGCATGTTATTACTCTTTTGGTAGCATCATGACTCTGTGTTGAGCTCCCTCTACCTAACTTTCCCAAAATTCTCTTTGTCTCCTAGTCCTGCCTAGGGACTCATTGGTCAAACAGTGTTTTATTTTTCAACCAATAAGAGAAACACATATACAGAAGGACATACCCCATCATACAGGAATATCAGGGGAGTCACTATGAATACGGGTACAGGTGGGTGCTGTTCTGTGGCTGTGTCTCAGCACTTGGGATCATACACCTTTAATCCCACCACTGTGGAGGTGGGGACAGGTGTGAAATGGCTGGGCAAAAAGAGGAATAAAAGGAAGAAGCAAAGGGTCTCAAGTGGAGATTTAGTGTCCAGACAGGGAGAGCAATTTCTCTCTGAGGATTCGTGGAGACTGGATCACCCATTTTGGCACGTGGTAGAGGAAAGAGGTAGTTGATGGTGGCTTTGCTTTTCTGATCTTCAGCTTGAACCCCAATATCTGTCTCTAAGTTTTTATTTTTCATGTTACACTCCATTCTCTAAGACCTCATCTCATTCCCTTTTCAAATGACCTTGCTTACCACAATTAAAGCATCAGACATTTTGATTTTTCTTTAAGACTTTTTAGAAATTCCTTCTCTTATCAGAGTAGCATCATAAAGGTGAAATCTAATATCAGCCATATTTCTAATCCATTCATGTAAGGGCACTTACCTTTAAAGGCCTAATCACCTTTTTGAATGCTAAATAGCATTTTTAAAAGCCAAAGGTTAAATTAATATTCATCTGACATTTGGATCTGATACTACTCAATTTATAGCTGAAGTCAACCTTTGCAAAATATCAGTGACGGCTTCTTTTGTGCCTTGTATAATTTTAGTAAATGACTCAGACCTCTTTCCTGATTCTTCAACCTGTCCCAAGCACTTAAAGTTGCTAAAGGACATAGTGCCAAGGTGTGGTCATCCCACTCAAGCTGTCTTTGTAACTCAGCATGTTAGCATTCATCTAGAAACTGTCTTGGGAAATAATAATATCTCTAGCCCTATTTTATTTTCTATAGCCCCAGCTTCCTCTTTCCACCGCGTTTTCCATTGTGACTAAGGACCAGCTTCTGATACTGCTGTTACCAAATCTTTTCAGTCTTGAGAAATAATTCTGCTCTGAACTTCCCACGAATTTAACACCCTTCACAAAGGGTGAAGACATGCTATCCTTAAATGTCCTCAAATCTAACATTTCTATAGGATTGCATTAAATTCCTCCTTCTGTGGGAGTTTCTGTTTCCTCGGGGTGGTTCCTCTGTAGAAGCTGGATAAACCAAGGTTATTCTCTAACAACCTTTGGTCACTCTTTTGTTTCACCGTGCAGTGGCACAATAAATTCTTGTCTAAATTACTCTGTCTGTGTCTGAGAATTTTTCTTACTTTCATTTGTAAGTCTTTCTAAGGCTTGCATCTTACAAATTCATTTTTTATACTTTGCACTACAAAACCACTACAGCTATTAAAGATAAAATATGAATTACCAGACTGATAGTAAATATAATCAGTATTCTGTCAACCTCAGTTAAGTCGTTTCTCTTCTCATTCTCTGCTTCTATTCTCGAGCTGTCTAATGTACTCTTTCCTTGAGAATTTCCCAGGTGTCTTACAAAAATTTGATGAGTTCTCAGTTTGTTTGCCACTGTCACAACTTCTCTGTCCTGAAGGCATGCACGTCTTTGGACACCAACTGTTGTTATTAACTAAATCTCAATTGTTCTATTTTACCAACAGCAATTCAGGAGCCAGATGCTGGGTGAAAACCTGCTAGCTCAAAGAGGCAGAGAAAGCACCCAGCTGCTTATTCCTTCTATGTCATCCCAGAAAGAGAGCTTTCTCCTCCTTCATCTCAAACCAAACTCCTCCAACTGGAGGTCCCTCCCTCCTACTCCCTGTGCATCTCTCTATCTGTCCCCCTGACTCTTCCTTACTCTCTATTTTTTCCTGTCAACTGGTTGCATCCTCTGACTCTTAACCTATGATTCATTTTATTAATTCTGTTTACAATAATCATGCAGAAAATTCTTGGACTTAAGTTGTATGCTAGGGCTGAACCATACCACAGCTAGCAGGTTTTTCCAGTAGATAATGTAATCTCATGGTTCACAGTATGATTAGATATTGATATGTGGAACACTGATATTTGAAAGGAATATAAATAGAGTCACTGTGTTGCTCTATTAGTTATCAACTTGACCATATCACTAATGAAGTACAATCCAGAAATGGAAGGCACACCTGTGAGACATCTTGTGCTTGGTTTGAAGTGGGTGATCCACTACTGGTCTGCACCTTTGAGGCAGGAAGACATATGTTTTAATCAGACCTTGAGTCCTGAAGACCTTTATTATGGGCCAAACCTTCTGATGGGATTCTAAATAAGGACACAGAAGAAGAAACATTTTATTGTACCTGCTTTCCCTCACCTTGCTATCACACCCACTGCATCAATGGTATTGGAACCTACTTCTTCAGGATTCCAGCATATAAAAAAGAGCTGGTATATCCAGTCTTAAGGGATTTAACGACTACTGGGTACTTAGACTTTCCATTCATAGCTACCTGATGTTGGATATGCTGGATGGCAGCCTAAATGTCATTCCAATAAAACACCTTTATATATAAAGAGAGATTCATTTCATAACTTCTATGACTATAGAGAACCCTGACTAATACAGTCACCAAATAACAGCATAGACAATGCCCCAACTAAACCTCCTTTACCAGTAAGTAAAATTTCCTGTATCAGGAGGTTACATCTTGTTGAGTTGTTGGGAGAAGGGGCTCCATGAAAACCCCAAACATCACAGGCTATTGCCAAGACTATCAGTTGCTCTTCACAACCTGATGGTAAGTTCCTGTTATTGAAGACAACCCTTACATATGCCTTCAAACATGGAGAAATTGAGTTGTTGCCAAAAGGGAAGGTCCAGCCCTACTACCTAGTGTTTGTGTGTGTACCCTTTATGCTACCAGAGGAGAAAGGAAATCATCAATGTCTCCCAGCTACAATCCCTGTGGCCTACAACAGTGAACCTTCCTTCATGTGTGACATAGATGTTATGGGAGATTCCAACTATATTCTGCTTGAGTGTAACACACATTCCTTGAGATGGAGCCCGTAACTGACACTGCCAATGTGGCCAAGATCCTCAAATAGATCATGGACCTAGAAGAAAACCTAATACTGTTATTCTGCTCAAAGATTAAAGCAATATGATGATTTCCTGTCATATGTTGCTATACCCATAGATCAGTGCCTTTCTCAGCACCTGGCATAGAAGCAGGAGATGGGAACTAATACAGAGCCTCATAACTGGACAGTGTGCAGAGAGGGAGAGACTTTGGAGCACTCAGTCCTAAATGGAATGTCTTCATCAAAGCTTCCTCTACAAGGTTCAAGGGTCTCTGTGGAACAGGAGTCAGAAAGATCGTAAGAGCCAGAGGGGATGGATTTCTCCAAGGAAATAGTCTCTCCAGACACAAAAGGCCTGGAACACATGTGTATTAGGGTTCCTTTTAGGCCACCAGCCAGCTCCTAAATCATGACACAGAGACGATATTAATTATGAGTATTCAGCCTTATTTTATGCCCATTTCTTCCTAACTCTTTAAATTTAACTTGTTTCTCTTCATCATCCTTTTAGTTCAGGGTTTCTTCCCTTCTGTGTGTCTTACTCCATCTAGCTACTGGCATCTGACTGGCTGGCTGGCTCCAGGCATCTCCTTCTTTTTCCCCTCATTCTCTCTCCTGTTTTAATCTCTCCAGCCAAGATTCTTCCTCCTATTTATTCTTCCTGCATGCCAGGCCCATCTATCCCTCTCCTGCCGAGCTATTAGCTATTCCACTTTTTATTAGAGCAATCAGGTGCCTTGGACAGGCAAAGTAAAACAGCATTTTTTTATTTATTGTGCTTATATAGTGTAATTCATACTCTATGTTTAGTGACCACCTTCCTAAAAAACATTTTATATGCATTGATTAGCAGACTTCTTCTGTCCTTTCTTAGGATAAAGCAGGAAGGGATTAAGGGATGGAGGCCTTTCCCTCAGCAAATGGGAAGTCACTATGGGCACCACAGTAGGGACTGGACTCCCACAGGTTGAATCATCCTAAGGCAGAATGACAGTGTCAAGGCTGGCCTGAGTCAGAAGAGGTGTGTCAGCACAATCGATGTCCATTCAAGTGCTGCAGATGCAAACTGATCAAAACTTTCCAGCCCTGAGCTGAAGCCCTCTGCTTAACATAGGAAACTGAAAACCAGAAAGACCTTCATACTGAACCTCTGTCCACCAACTGATGATACTACCCCGTTCTTGCTGCTGATTGGTTCATCTGCACTGAAGGTGCCCAGCCAGGCATCAGTGGGCGGAGCTGCTCACAGTCCTCAGTCAGCCAGGCCTGCTTCTCTGGCCACCATCCTCTCCTCCTCCTCCTCCATGATGGGTCTGTGGCTCCCCAGAGTCCCCGGTGTGGCAGCTGTGGTCCTGACACTGATGGCGCTGAGCCCTCCAGTGGCTTTGATCAGGGACCCCCGACGTAAGTGCACATCTCAGGGGCAGAGCTGCTGGGGGCTGGGAAGAGAACTAGCTTCATTTGGTCAACACTAAATCTTTTAAAACTTGTCATTTTTTTCTTTGACCACTTCTTTCAATCATAGGAATCACAAATTATTTCCATTCAAACGATCTTATATGCTCCTCTGAGACTTGTAAATGAGATCACATATGAATCCTGTCCCCTTCTCCCTCATGAGACCCCTCCAGCCTGACATCATATTTCCTAGGGGCTAGAAAAGACGAAGAATATAGGGTGTTAAAATAATAACCTGTCCAGAATCTCTCTAAAATATTAAGATGATTTAAAAGAAAAAATTAAAGGAAGAAAATGTGCAATTAAGAGGACTTGGGAGCTCTGTCCTAGAAAACTGTTGTAGCCCTCACTAGAATCTGAGGCATGAGTACATCTGGCTAATATGCCAAGAGGAATCATAGCATCTTCTCTTCTCCCTGAACCACAGTGTTGATGAGCCCTGAACCTTGTGGTGGAGATGCTGTTGTGGGAAGTAGTTAGTGTTCTCTCGCTACTGTTGAAGGGACCCTGGAGTTCTCTCTCTCTCCCTCTCCCCCCTCTCTCTTACTCTCTCTCTTGTCAAAGACACCCTGGAGCTCACCCTGGAACTTAATGCATGTGTTAGCCTCCCAGACAAGGAGCATCCATGGTGCACCCTTTAGTGCCTTGAAGTCTTAACAGTTTCTCTACCATCCTATCACAGGATGGCATTTGCTGTTATTTGGAACCAGCCCATACTGCTTCTGCAGCACCTGCTGCCTTCCTGCCTGAGTGTAAAGGAGAGGATTCAACTAGTTTAAGATATGAAGTTATATTGTTGTATATCAGCAGAGGGCAGGACCAACAATTTCATAGGGTTCAATCTATGTACCCTGAGCAGGGGTGCAGACAACGTGAAGGCAGCTAACGTCTCCCGGATTAGAAGCTAATCAGCAAATAAAGGTTACTGGTTTGCCAGGGTTTCCCCTAAACCTTGTAGGTTCCTTCATCTCACTGTCTGCAATCCATCATCCGTGTCAAGTTGTTGGTATTTACAATTCCTCTTTGGCCTTTCCCAGTACGATGATGCAACCCCAATATGTAAATTTGCATATATGTATTATGTATGTATGTAGGTATGTATGTATGCATGAAGTCATTAACACTTTCATTTAGATAAGTCCCCATGAAATGGTCACTTGTTAATGTTCTATTTCTTGTCTCTGTTGTGAGGGGCCAGTGTTTGCAGCACACTAACTTTAGAGGACATTAACACCCCAGAGCATCAGCACTACAAATCCAGATCGTTCTTTCTTGCAAAATACTAAGGAGTGGTCCCTCCAGGTGTCAGGGAGCCTCCCCTATGGCTCATTTGGCCCCAGCAGACCCAGCAACTTTCCCTAATTCCACAGATCACAGAGATATACTTGGATTTGCCTTATGGGGACTCTGTGGTGGCCTTAGTCCTGTGGTTCGCAGGAGGCACCTGGGTGAGGTCTCTTGGTGGTGGCCCAACCCCTACAACAAAACCTGGGCCATGCTTCATGTGACCGCTGCATGGAAACCCCATGGCCGACAGCCCCTGCTGTCACTGCACCTACAGATTTAGCTGCTCATTGATGCCTCCACAGTTAATGGCTGTGACCTCTGCAGTGGTTGTTGAGCCCCACGTGCACCTCCTGGTGCTGTGGACTGGGAGGGCAGGGGCCCTGTGTGCAGAGAAAGTAAAGAAGTATCAGGTGTGCCCCTCCTCTTCGGTTGGGGATTCTAAGTGAAACTCAGGGCCAGAACCTCAGTCTGAAAATCTGAATTCAGGCAGCAAGCAAGTGCTTGTCTGGGCACCCCATTTTCTTATTTGCTGTATCCTGCACCCTCATGCTGGGCAAAAGTCTTTGGAAGGCTGCCACCCAGACAGAATGAAAACAGGCTTATACTGCTTGCTACACCACAGAACAGCACCTGCATGCACATGTTTTGACTGTCTCTCCTTCAGGAAGGTCCTCGGGGATTTGTGAATAGTAAGATCGACTTTGTCTGCTCTGGAATTTACTCCTTGGTGTAGCCTTTTATTTTTGCAAGGAGAGTTTTATGCAGATCTCCATTGGTGGTCTGGCTCACAACTGTCTGAAACTCCAGATCCAGGAGACCAAATACCCTATCCTGGCTTCTGTGGGCCTTGTATGCAGTGGTGCATGTACAGACAAGCACACACACACACACACACACACACACACACACACACACACACACGAATAAAAGCAAACACAGACAATTCAGAAGAAAACAAACGCATATCTGAAGGCCAGTGAGATGGTTTAGTGGGGAAAAGGACTTGCCATCAAGCCTGACAACCTGAGTTTGGTCCCGGTCTGTCCACACTTGTGCCATCACACACACACACACACACACACACACACACACACACACACAGATGCAATTAAAAACACAAATAAAAATTATTAAAATATGCTATCAGTGCATCTACTTGGGCTATGATGTGTTGATATGACACAAATATTTAAGATCTATTTTTCTTACTTTTTAATTGTGTGTGTGTGTGTGTGTGTGTGTGTGTGTGTGTGTGTGTGTGTACATGAGTGGAGCTGCCCATAGAGGTTAGAAGAGGACATCAAATCCCCCTGGAGCTGATTTACAGGCAGTTATGAGCCTCCTGATTTAGTAAGTTCTGGGAACCACACCTGGGTCCTCTGTCAAAGCAGCAATGTTCTTAACCTCTGAGCTTTTGCTCAGCTCCCAACACATCACTAGATGTATGGTGGCTGGTGACTCCCAACATAGTGTGTGTATGTGTAGTGGCTGGTGAATGCTGACATAGTGTGTGTGTGTGCATGGTGACTGCTGACCTACTGTGTGTACATGGTGACTGCTGACATACTGTGTGTGCAGTAGTGACTCCTCACTTATCAGCATGTGTATGGTGGCTGGTGATCATGCTAAGCATCCATCTTCCCAAGCACCAGCCATGTGTGCATTGGAATTCCTTTCTCTTCTAGCCATATTGACATGATCTGTAGATTGCTTTAACTCTGTAATAAACCCATTGTGCTGTAGAAAAGCAAGATCGACTCTCTGACTTCCTTTTGTTCCCCTTTCAACTTTGTCACCTCCCTTCCTCTGCCGTCCCTTACTTTGGTGACCCCCACATACACACTTTGCTCTTCATCCAAGTTGACATCTCAGTTCATGAGTGGGAATACTTTTGTCTTTCTGAGTCTGACTCGTTTTGTTTAGCTGCCTATGGCATCCAGGAAGTATGTGTACACCGTGGAATCCTACTCAGCCATGAAGGGAATGAAGTCCTGTCACACACTTCCTTTATCCATCCATCCATGGGTAGGCATTTCTGCTGACTGGACACTCTGCTATGGGAACAGCACTGTAGCAAACAGGGACTCAGATTTCTTTTAGGTACATGATTTCATCTTTGAATTAATCCCCACAAGTGTCTAGTTCTTATGAGGACTCTCCAACTGTTCACCATGATGTCTGTATTAATTTTCACTTCCTTCATCCGCACCAGCCCTTGTTAACTTCTGCTGAAGCACCCTACCTGCTGTGACAATATTTAACTGTGTTTCTGGTTTGTACTTTTGTCATGGCTTGTGGAACTGAGTATTTCTCAAACACTTGTTTATCGGGGTAAATAAGGATCAGGATAAACAAATAGGCCGAATAGATGTTTATTCAGAAGAGAAATAACTTACAACCTAGACAGATGAACACCAGGAAATTCAACCCGATCCTCTCCTGTCCGAGTCACGCCAGAAAGAGAGCGCCTTTCCTGGCCCCCTCCGACCTCCTTCCACAGGTCACTCCGCCCATGGCTCCACCCCCAATGGGCGTGGTCAGTGCCACAGAACTATCTCATTACCCTTGTTGACCATTTGATTGTTATGTCTTGTCAGCGCGTTGTCTTTTTAGCTCCCTTTCCTGTGTTTTAATTGGCTCATTTGGGTTTCAGAAGCTCACGTTTAAAAAGATTGTCACATGGGCAGTGGTGGTGTACAACTTTAATCCCAGTACTCCAGAGGCAGAGGCAGGTGGGTCTCTGTGGGTTCAAGGACACCCCGTTGTAGGATATTATGTTAACTAGGAAAAGATGTGTTACATTTGTTTTGGCTGTGATTACTTTAACTGTGTAAAGGTGTGTTACTTTTGTTTATGCCACATTTGTTTAATTAGGAAAAGATTTATGTAACATTTGTTTCACCTTGCCTGCCTAAGGCACCTGATTGTTCTAATAAAGAGCTGAATGGCCAACAGCTGGGCAGAGAAAGGGTAGAGAATAAATAGGAGAAATCTAAGCTTGAGAGAAAAAAAAAAAAAAAAAAAAAAAAAGGAAGGAGAAGGCAGAGAGAATGAAGGACATGACTAGGGCAAGACGCCAGGCAGATTCCAGACAGACACAGACAAGCAGTAAAAGTGAGATATATAGAACTAAGAAAGGTAAAAAGCCCCAAGGCAAAAGGTAGATAAAGAGAAACTAGTCAATTTAAGTTAAAAGGGCTAGCCAAAAATGCGCCTAATCTAGGAGGAGCATTCAAAACTATTAAGTCTGTGTGTCATGATTTGGGAACTGGTTGGTTGCCCAAAAGAAAAAGTCTGTTACAATAGCTTGCACTACAGAGTGAGTTCCAGGACAGCCTGAGAAATCCTGTCTCAAAAAAATAAATAAATAAAAAGAGTTTTATGTATATGGGTGGCTTAACATGCAGTATGTCTGTGTCCCATGAGAATGCAGTGCCCAGTGAGGCCAGAAGTGGAGTTACAGACAGTTGTGAGCCACCATGTGGGTACTGGGATTTGAACCCAGGTCCTCCATCTGTAAAAGCAGCCACTGCTCTTAACCACCGAGCCACCTCTCCAGCCCCAGAATTGGTCTTCAAAGGTCTCTTTCAACAACTTCATTACTGCTACAGGAAATGCTGCTGTCTTTTGTGTGCTGCAATGTAGTGCCTGGGCTATGA